AACTAACCTGGGCGGAGAACAGATCGGGCGCATAGCCTTACTATGTTAACTCGCCTTGGGACCTAAGTATAGCAGCTCGGCAACATAGTCGGCTCGGCGAAAAGAGAAAATGACTGCCCAACACTTAGCCAAAAAAGGGGGAGTATTCATTGTAAAATAATTTTGTTTACACTTCATTCCAAAAAACAATGGTAACGAGCTCACAGGCCCGGAGGTACATCTTCCTCGCCTTTAGAAGGGACTCCGACAATACCCGAAGGTCCCGCTTCGTCTTCAGAATCTGCATCACCATCAGCTGCAGCAATCATTTCCGAAGTGATGCGCGAAGTGGTTATGGCACTAATGTTGAGCTCGGGGTACGTGTTCCTTATCATCCATCGGTTCAACTTGAAACCCCTTCTGTACGAGCCCACCATCATGTCATCAAAGCGCGGCGAAGCAATGTAATCATTAACATCCTTCACCTTCGCCTCCTCGATGGCCTAAGAGAAGATCTCAGTCTTCTCCCTGATATCATCCTGAAGGTACCCGACCTGATGCTCCAGGTCCAGCTTCAGGTCCGCCATGTGTTTCACCACCAATCCTAAGGCCTCGTTGTCCCTCCGAGACCTCGTTAGCTCGACTCGCGCAGCGCGTGAAGCCTTTTTGGCAGCTTGCGCTCGCTTCAAGCCCCTCTCCGCCTGGATTGTTAGAGCGTGGATAGAGGAGTTCACCAACCAAAACGAGAACAAATCAGCCCGGCAAAAAATAAAATAAAAAAACAAAAAAACTACTTCGACTTACCACCATGGCGTGAGTAGCAGCACGCGCGCCTATGTGTTGTGGAGGAAGATCGGCCCACGCCGCGACCTCCTCAGGGCAAAAAGCCTTCTTACTTTTTCGAAGAGCGTAGCTCAGCGTCAGCACGCTCCTAACCCCATCCTGACTTCCCGAGCCTGAAGGCACAGCCTGGGTATAAGCAGTATCGGCATAGGGGACTCCTGCCACTTCCTGAACCGAAGGGGCCACCTCGGGCTCCCCAGGAGACTCCATTCTCGGTGCCTCGGGCTCCATAACCCGGGAAGGATCGGCACAGACCCGCTTAGCAGCTCGCACCTCGAGTCTTTTCTGCCTCCATAACACCTGCAAAAAGAGCTCGACGTCAAAAGACGAGAATAAAAAACAAAGCAAAAGCAAGCCTCTAAGCAAGAAACCTACCCGAACTCAGACTGACCTGGATAAGCTTGGCCTCCGTCAGGTAGACTTCGCATTTGAGTCCAAGTCGAGCCCAGTCCTGGAGGCCCTTCACCGTTTCTTCATCTAACGTGGCACCAGGATCAGGAATGGCCAATCCTCACTCGGTAGGAAACGACCACCCCATAGCACTTCGAACCACGAAGTAGTCCCGCTTCCATGCCGGGACCTTATTCGGAAGATCGTGCAAAAGCTTGAACCTCGGACGAGGAGACAAGTAGTAGGCCCGCCTACGCCCGGGCAGGGGACCCGCTTGCTTCTTGAGCATAAGAATGTCGGAAAAGATTTCCAGGTCCAATGGAAGACAGTGTTCGCAACAAAGGGAGATGGTCCCAACAAGGTTACGAATGGAGTTCGGGTGGAGCTGACCGACAGTAACGCCGAAGTGATTCATGACCTCGACGATAAGGGGATGGAAAGGAAGGCGCATCCCGACAACAACCTGCTCCTGGAATATAACGATCTCGTCCGGACCGTGCTCCCAAGGAAAGTCGCCCGAGGGTAAAATATAAGTATACTCCCCGGGTAGGTTATACTGAGCGATAAGGGACCAAAGTCTCTCGGGCGTCATAGTGGAGGCCCGAACTTATCTGGCACCCGACCTTGACGGGAGGTGGATGCCAAGCTACCCAAGGTGACTCGGCCTACAGGCTCGAACTCGAGCTCTTCCTCGAGCTCTACCTCGGGCCCTGCCTCGGACTCACTAAGGCTGTCAGGGGCAGTAGCTCGGTTTGTAGAACCAGCATCTGACCCCCCAGAAGACTATCTAAACTACTTGAGCTAGACATTGAATAAAAAAGAAGGCTGAGGACTCACCGGGGAAAAGCTACCGAACTACGAAGAATGATGCGAGCTGACAGCCTTGGACGCGAGCTCAAGAAACGAATGCTGAAGAATGGCGAAGGAAAGTGACAAGGGCCCCCCACTATTTATAGCCATTGTACTCGTGCATCAACGACTAAGATCAAAACCATCCAACGGCTCCCCGCAAAACCGACTGCGCGCCCCTCGAGGAGAAGTCAGTTTAGCGCGTGTTTTCGACGTTCGAAAATTTAAAATCGTTTGGTGTCCGCACGTGAGCTGCACACGCGAACCAAGCCGACCCTGATCGGGCCAAAAACACAAGCACCTCAGACTGGAGAAGCTCTAAACCAAGGCCAAAGTGTCACGAGGCAAATCCACCCGTCATCCCGTGAACTCCCCACGTCGGGTCAGGACCTCGGGCACAGGGAGTGGGGGGCAATTGATGGAGGGAGATTTGGCCCGACCCCTTGGCCACGCGACACGTGGAAGCAACTCGAGCTCGGCACAACAGCGGGCCCACAACCCGAGCTCCGAGGAAAAGGAGTCCCGAGCTCCCCCAAAAAAAGGAACCCGTGACCCGAGCTCCCCAAGGAAGAGCCCGAGCTCTCCCTTGGAGGTCCTGAGCCTTACAAGGAGCGCAAAGGGCAAAAACCCGAGCTGACCCACCCCGGGGCAGTTCGGGCCACACTTCTATCCGAACTCATGACTTCACCTCGCACACCACTTCGACTCCAAGTTGCCTGACTGAACAACCGTACTTGAAGCTCAGGAAGCCCGTACACGGAGGCGGCGCGCCTGACTGATTAGGGGTCCGACACATTACAGCCGCCCTCCAACAGCCACCTGCCACCGCCATCTCAGACGTGGCAGAGACGGCCCTGACAAGGAAGACAGTGGCGGTTATGACACCCGAACTGGCAACTGGCAGAGGTTATGACACCCGAACTGGCGTCTAGCAAAGATGATGATCCCCGATCTGGCAGAGGTATGGGAGTGAGTGTATCAGGGTGATTATAAAAGGCCCCCTTCCCCCAAAGAAGGAGGTATGTGATTTCTGTGCTTTCAGGTCTTGAAGTTCCTCATTTCCCTTGCCTTCTCTAGAGCACTAACTTGAGCTTCGGAGTGTTCCAACCGGGTTCCTCCCCGGAAGTCTCCAGTTTCTTCCTGATTTCAGGCACCTTCAGCTCCGTCAGAGGCGAGGTAACCAACAGCTAGGACCAACCGGATTGCGCATCATCACAAAGTATTCTCATATAACTGGACCAACAAACAAATTTTTATGCTAAACATAGGGGTGACATCTGTYAGTTTGATTCAGTTTCAAGATATAATTCATTCTAATTTTTTGAACCAAAACCTACCTTGTCAATATTGGATCTATGGTCTATTCATGGAGCTTGCCCTTGCTCTTACTCATAAAAAAATAATAATATGTTTTTTTTCTCCTTTCAAACTTTTGATTTTGAATAACAATATAATAAACACTCCCATGCAAGGTGCCAACTAATTGATTGGTAAGGTCCTGTTGGTTATAGACTTATAGTGGTGACTTTCGAATCCTACTTGTCAAATAGGAAAACAATTCCATTTTGGATTGATTTTAAATTTATATTTTATTTCTATTATTAATCAAAATAATTATATTTTGACACATTTTTTTTAATATGGTCAATTAATATAAAAGTCAATGAAAATGGGAATTAACATCCTAAGGCCCCGTTCTCTTTTTGGTAAGTTACTTGTTCGGGCAAATGTAATTACTTGGGTAAGTTTTTCCTAGAAAACACTTACCTCGGTAAGTGTATTTGCCCATGTTCTTTTATTTCCCATGTAAATAAGGTAATGACTATTTTATCCATAAAAATCCATTATTAAAAGGGGCATTTTTGTCCCATTAAAGTGTTAGCAACTTTTTCCCTAGGTGGAAAAGTTATTTACCCGCTTAGGAGATGGGTATCATTTACATGGGAAAATGGTATCCAGGAAAATAAACTTTCTCTGGTCCCTACATAAATATGAAAAATGAACATAGAATTCTTGGTCAATGGGAACCAAAATCCCATTGACCAACTTCCCCCCTCTCAAAATCCAAAAAAAGAACACCCCCTAAATGCCAGACTTAATGAGAGGGAATAAGGAGAAATGTAATAGTTCAAATTACATTTTTATGCCCTCAAAATGGGAGAGACCAAATTTAAAAATAAAGATATTCTTGTCAAGAATAGGAAAGAACGAATGTTAATGTTAATGTCCGTTAATACCTTAAATATAAGACAATGAAAATGATTTGAATAAATAGAAAAGTAGTTGTTCAAATTACATTAATGTTGTTATAAAGAGAGATGAACCAAATTAAAAAATTAAGATATTTTAGACAAACAAAAAAAATCCAATTTCATTGCATACTTTCAATAGTATTATAGATTGAGCATTAAAATTTCTATTCATTTATTTTTATCGTCTCAATTAAAGCTTTTTTTTATTAAAATACAAATTTGCCCTATAATAACTCAAGATCGAAGAGTAAATTCTGTCCAATAAAAATTATAGAAAATAGGACCCATTCACACTTCTAGTCTTAAAAGTATATATATGCTGACAGAAATACATAAGCTCTCTACAAACCGACCTCACAAGATGTTCTGGCCATACATCCTGAACATCTCGCGTACTTATATTTATTATTCATGATGTTCCCAATAAAGACCGACCTCACAACATGTTCTGGCCATACATCCTGAACATCTCGCGTACTTATATTTATTATTCATGATCTTCCCATCACTGATGTATCACGCGCGAATCTACTGTTCTCCACGCTGTACATAGAGGCTGGCTGATAACCAACTACGAGTGGATACGCCAGCGTGGCGGGCAGCAGATCCGGGCTCATGATAATGTACCTGTACGAGGGCCGAGGGGAATCGAATTACTAAAAAGTAGAATCCGGTTCCGGATAGAATCCGATTTCTAAAATGCTACCAAACAACCCCGAATTCAACCCAGCTGATGAATAAAGCAATGCAAGCAAACCAGATCTAATCTACTAGTTCATCAAAATCCTGGATAGATCTCAGTATAAACAAACCGTTTACGCCTGAGTCTTGACTGCAAAACCCCTGGATCTATCTCTTTCTCTCATCTTGAGTCGAACGACCATCCCCAACGTCTAGTTGCTGACAGAACAGATCACCGTATATCATTTCAATAGAAAGAAGAGCAGACTTTACTATAGTTCAGATAAGATGAAACGTGTTCTTCGAAATTCGTAGATCCCATGTCCTCAAGCATCAAGAACCCTATATTCTCTCCTTACGTGGTCTAGCAAGAAGCTAAGAGCCTGAGCCTAATGGGTTCTTCGAGATTCGTCTTGTCTTCGCTCTAATTCGCCTCTGATGGGTTCTTCTCAGTCCGTCCAAGTCGACGACAACGACGACGACGAAGAAGAAAACCGTAACGGGGGAGCCGAACGAAGAGAATTGGAGAAGCCGTTGATTCAGAAGGTTCTAGAACAGGAACCCGAGGTCCTCCCTTGCCACGCCTCGGCAACTCCCCTCTCTCCCCAGCTATCAACGCTGGGCACGCCGCGTCTTGGCCCATCGATCAAGGTCTGGGACCCCTGCAATGTTCTTGCGCCACCGCCGCCGCTGCTGCCGCCGCCAAGGTTCAATAGAAGCTTCTCGTTTGAAGATGATCGAACGATTACGGAAGTTTTCATGATTAATCATGGTGAATGCGGCGTCAATCTGAGACCGGATTTGATTGCGGGGCGGTGGCCGGAAGTGGGATTGACGCCAAATGGAAAGCGGCAAGCGAGGGCGTTGGCAGTGTTCCTTAATTCTCGTGGTGTTCGGTTTAGTGCTGTCTATTCGTCGCCACTGGAGCGGGCTAAGGCAACTGCAATTTTAGTCTGTCAGGTAATTTGCAGGTCTTGTTTGGTTTATGCTTCTAAGATTAAGTTTCTTGTTGTTTGTTAGGGAGTTTAGTTTCTTCGATTGTGTGTGCGCCCATGTAGATTGTTTTTCTGAATGTGCTCTTTCGATTGCTTGTATTGTGGAGCAATGGATATACCGCTAAACTTCATGAGCCAGTTTGCACACCGAGAAATTAATGCTGTCTGTGTTGGAATTGAAATGCCTGAGCAATCTGTGAACCACTCACTATCTAGAGTTTAATAGTCCTTTGATTCTGTGACCAATATGAAGTCCCTAATATACCTAGAAATTTGAATGAACTTATTAGCCACTAAGCCACCTCGAATTTTCTATGGTTCGATGCTGTGAGAAACTGAAAATCAATCATGAAAATTCTATGACCTGTCTTTCTAGGATAGAATCCAGCATACAACCATGTCAAGGACTCAAAGATGCTACCCCTCGCCCCTCCTAAAAGCTAAAACTGCCAACTTCTCACATATATCAACAATGCCTGATGGCTGCTTATCTTATTAAGTTTTGCAATGTCAATATTGACTAATTGAGGCTCTAGAGGCCATACAGATTGGAAAATGGGATTAGTTCAATTTTGATCCCAATGCATATTTTAACCAATAAGATATCCGGGATGGGATAATAACTAGAATGTTTAGAAATTATAGAATGATTTCATGTCTTGAAACCCTAGAGCACTTCGAAAAATCCAAAATGGAGTTGTTCCATTCCACATGTTTCCAAATGCTCCATAATTCTTTCCTTCCCTCTATTGGCACAAACGCTTGTCATTTTTTTTTTGATCAGTAACATAAACACTTGTCATCTAGAGTTTAAATATGTACTTTTCAATGGTTATATCACAAAGAAATCAATGGTTTTGGATCTGAACTTGTCAAACTTTTGAGCTTCAAAATCAATTGGAACAGTGCATGTAGCCGGTATTTTCTCCTTAGTTCCACTATTTAGATTTGTGATAACATTTATAGCCTTTACACAGAAACATCTCAATTAAATCTAAATGTGAAGTTTGAGTATTCTCTTACGGAGGATTCTTCAAATGCCCTTTTCTGGTAAAGAGTTATTGGAAGAGGGTCATGGAGGTTAGCTTACTATTTAATTAAAGTCAACAAAAAAAGTTCTCTTCCATACAGGTTTAGTTTAGATGAATTCCAAGACAGCTAAATATGATAACAGATTACCTGTCCACCTCAGGAATACAAAAATGGGTTTGCTACTTGTGACTGATGTTGTTTAGTTAGTTTCCCTAAATTACCTGGGATCCTTGCACATGGCAAGTTTGTTTTAAGCTCAAAACTCAAAAGGGGGTGTACATATACCTTTCCATATCCTACAGGCTACATCTATGATGTATGTTTTTTTAGAGTATGATGTATGGAGAAAATTTGCCCATGAAAACTTTGCCAAATATAAGCCATCTTTTAGAGAAAATTTTTAACATTTTCTTTGAAGAGTAAAGAAGAAAATTTTATTAAATTAAAAAGAAAGATACAGCTTTAGTAGGTGTCAAGATAACAACCGAACAACTGAAACTATGAAAGCATGTTTATATTGCAAGCTGGGATCTCAAAATTTTTAAAACTCTAATGGATATTATTAATTGGAAAAAACTTCCATACAAGGTGGACTGGGCACATGAACACATGGACAATCAATAGGGTCTTCTATCCCATGGATGGTCTTTATAGGCTACAGGATTTGTCCATGTGGCTGTATCTTTGAAGATCAAAATATTGGTACACAGTCTGAGCTGCCTATTATCAAATGGCAGCTTGACAGGAAAAAATGCACTGTATGCACAATGCTAAGCTGTGAGAACATGAGAAAACTGAAAATGAGAAAGATTAATGGAGAAACTAAGAATAGAAAGATCAGAAAATTAGTCAATAGAATTATAGAATGCCCTTTCCTCCCTTCCCTCATCCCATAGAAAGTCGTGATTAAAAGCTGAAATTCGATATTTAATAGAGGTGAATGCCAGTTTGATCTATGCTTCTCAGGACATTCATATTGATTCTTGAATATTCCTTGGGCATTAAGACTTTAGGTTTGGGTTAATTAAAATAGTGAATATGCTGATATGCACCATGTTTAAGATGAAGAGGCATTTGCAAAAGTAATATAGATGTATTTACTGTTGAATGTTATTTCCTCACCAATATGATCCATTTACTTTTCTAATACCCCTTTTTCTTGTCTTCTTTAGAAGGACTAAAAGTCATGTTGATAAGACTAATAGAACCAAAACTGATAGCATGATTTGATTTGATGGATGGAAAGCTCACATCCATGTTCTCCTGGGATTTGTAGGCTATTGAAGTTTTCAGAAAGTTCCAATTATTTGATGTAGTAAGAAGACCATTGGAATTCGAATATTTGTGATTCTCCCCTCTTCCCATATTGATTTGATGTCATATGACCTTGGAATTATATAATTGTTGTCAATTAACAGTTGTCTAATTTGTCTTCCTAAAATCTAGGATATGAAGTGTAGAGAACCTTGTCATTTTGACCCTCATAAATGTTAGTTCATTGACTTAGTGTGCAGGAATCAATTGCATGATCTATAACATGCTAGATAGATGCATATCTTCTCCTTTATCTTTTGTAAAGATTAAACTTTCTCATTAACTTAACAAATACTTGACATAGTATGCTTGTGGAATTTTAATATTTCTGATGCTTTCCTCTACTGAAGTTTAGCTGAAACTTTTTCAGAATATATCCAAATATTTGATGTAGTACACTTGTGGAAATTTTGTGTTTCTTTTCTATCCATCTGAAATTCAGCTGAACCAAGTAATTTTTGCTTGAAATTCCACAGGAACTGAATTTTGCAGAGGAACAAATACAATCATCAGATGCCCTTCTTGAGATGAGTGAAGGCCAATGGGAGGGGTGTCTCCGTTCAGAAATATACACACCAGAAATGGTGAATATAATGGATGTAATGCAGCCTGACTTCTCTGCACCATCTGGAGAATCGCTTAGGCAGGTGGAATTCAGGATGGTTCAATTTCTTAATGGCATGGTCCTCAAACTTCCTGAAAAGCTGAGAACTGAATATGTTATGTCACTCCATCAGAATGAGAACAAGGGATTTGCCTGCCACAATTTGCAGGTTACGACTCACTCAACTCAAGATCAAGATGGTCTTATGCTCCCACCTCCACATTGGGATTTGCTTCACAAGCAAAGACAGAGCCCTTCAAAGAAGAAGTCTGGTAAGAGCAGGCTACAGTTTGTAACTACTACTGGAGATCCTGAGGTAGAGGATGAGATCTCTCCCCGGGAACCTAACAACTTGGACCAGCTTCATGATATGAATGTCAGAAGCTCTTCCAATCCCTCCTTTTCAATTGGTATTTTCACCCATGCAATGCCAATTAAGTGTCTTCTCACAGGACTCCTGGGGTGTAGCCCGACAATGGCTAGTAAGATCTGTATAGATGATTCTTCAATGACAGTATTACAGCATTCAATAAAAACAGGTTGGCAGATAAAAACAATGAATGATACAGCACATCTCAGGCTTCTCTAGGCAAGCCCAAGAGTTATTAACCAGCCTTCTTTGGCTTCTGCAAATGGACAAATGACGTAAATTACTGTATTTGGGCAGAGGCTGATATTTATTCGAGTTTTTTATTCAGTTTTTCTACTGCTGGCTCTTGATTTTAGCCAGTTGATTGGTTTTTGGTTCCATGTCTCTGCTGTTCATGCTTCTCCTCGGATCCAATCATCCAAGGCTCTGAAATTTTGGCCATTCAGTCACTGTCAGGTGTTATTTAATTATCATCGACAATACTTAGCAGCTGTGTGTCATGTATTTTACAAGCTTCGAATTCCGCGGTTCATCCAAAAAAAAAAGCTTCCAACCCCACAGAATAGGAAAAAGCTGTGTAGAGCTGGAGCTTTCTCATATATGGAGTAATTCTTTCGATCTGTAGCATTACAGCCTTACAGGTGTTGTTTCGTAGACTATGAGATGAAAATATTGCACAATCTGGATGAAATTAATTGTATCGGAAACAGACAAATTTGCGTCTTAAGATATTACATACATTTGATTTGAGTTTGTTGTCGAATGACTTGTGCAGTTCTTCTTCTTGATGGGATGATGTTTGGCATCGATGATGATTCCTTATTGCCGATAATCCAGAAATCGGTGATTTTTGAAAAATCACCAAAAAAATTGTTGTTTGGTATCATTTATGCTATGTAAGCAATTTATTTGATACTGATTCTCAATGGTGATTATTTTTCTTTGAAATCATTCTTTTCAGACATGTTGGATGCCATGTCATCCTCCAAAAATTTGAATCACTTAAAAATCGGGAAATCACAAAAAATGGTGATCCTTCGAGATGGGCCAATTTCAGGAATCATTATTCTGCCGATTTCTCAAAATCACAAAATTCAACCAACCAAATAGGAATGGCAACGGGGCGGGTTTGGGGCAGGGCACCCCCTCTCCGTCTCCGCCCCAAAGTCATGATACCTTGCCCTATACCTGCCCTGTCCCCGGTGGCGGGGCGGGACATCCATTTCCCATAAGGGACGGGGAATTCCTGAATTTTCTCCATTTCAAGGCAATTACTTAAAAACTATCTATTTTATAGACAATTTATACATAGGATATAGGAATTTGGGGGTATTTTAGAATTGAATTATAATGCTTTATGGGTAATTCAAAAATAAAATTATGTCTAGGATTTTAAAAATTTAGGAAACACTTAGAGATATTTTAAATATCAATATTAAACATAGAAATATTTTACTAATTTACCTTCGGTTTTGGGACGGGTTCGAGGAATTATATATAAAACCCGTCATCGCCTCATCCTTGTTTAGGGTCGGGGAAATTGCCATCCCTACAACCAAACAGATTGAAAATCACGATTTCTTCTGTATCCCATGTGGCTCCATGCCGATTTTTGGGAAAACATCACCCTAGTGCCTCAGCCGTTACCTACTAACGTGGGTTGCAAAGTTAAACTTAATCATCGAGCAATATTAGTGTTTTATGGGAATCATTATTGGATGTGCAACCTATTGCAAACAACTCTRGATCACCTGCCGAGAACTCTTCCCACATCTATCCACAATACACTACCCCCGTAAATTGGAAACATCTCCCCCGAAATAATACTATATAGGAGGATGAAATATTCTTCATGTATGACTGCGATGTTATGTGGGTAGAAATAGGCAGAGTTTATGTGGACAAGAGATCTARACTCATTGCAAACCCATTAGAATTTACTGTCACAACTCAGAACTCACAGTTGTTTTCGCCTTATTGCGTTAGCCATTATAATAAAGAAGAGTCGAGAATTGATTAGAAGAGAGGTTGGCCGTTGGAGATTTGGAACTTGAAAAGCTTGTTGTTGGGTGGGAGCTGATTCAGACGAGTCCGGGATCTGCTCCTTACACCAACCACCTTACAGCACGTCCCGACCACACATCGGAACATGTACCAATTCAGATCTCCTATTCACATGACACTACAAGTATACATCTAATACATCTCCCTATCAATGGCAACATATAAATATATGAGATGTTCACTGTGGTGATGTATGGATAAGGGAGATCCGAACACTTCCTGCACGGATGCACTTGTGCATTGTTATTCATGGAGAGATGTTAGGGTGAGATGTGTTGCGAGAATCGGTGTGAAGAGGGCTATGTGAGAAGCAAATTTTGATTTGATTCAGACCGGCAGTCTGGCAGTGAGATGTCACCTCCACAATGATAGATAAAAGTTGGTACATTCAAATGGGATTTGATGTCAGCTGAAAGAAGATGTGAGCTTTTGTATTAAGATATTAACAGTGCGGAGATCGTTTGATTAAGGTGTGTCTTCTTGTGACTTCTGTGATAAAAAAAGTCAAAAAGTTTCACTTGGAGTTTCCTGAAAATAGTTCAAAGCAAGTCTTGTGCGTCTTTTCAGGACAGCATCTTTTGACGGTTAAAYGGAAAAAAACCAAAACACAAACTACCGGACTTCTAAACAACCAACAGCCTGCACAAAAAGACGCACCAAAAAGGAGCCTAAGTACAAATCAAACCAAATCATATCGGTGGTGAAATTGACGTCTAGATTGAATCATAAAATTAGACTAGATCTGATTCATTCACGGTCCTACTAGTTTTCCTCTCAAGGTCATATAGCCAAAGTTGCTGATGACTTTGGTATTGGACCCAATTTTTTGATTATACAGAGTAATCAAGTTATACACCCAAGTTTCGGATACTTGGCGCACACAGATTGAATGGTGTAATAAGTATAATACCAGAAGGAGAACCCATGCACCTAGACTTTTCCAGAAAAACCTAGTGCCCATGCAATTACCAAGTGATGAGGGCGGATTTGGCCCTCCAATGATATTGTGACACATGGCACATCGGAACAACTAGGTGACACCCGGAACCACTTAGGCAACAACTGGCGGCCTAGCCCTGGCGCAACCTTGTTACGGTCTGACACAGGCTTAGCCTAGCCTACACTTGGCAGGCTTACGTTAAGGGACACCATCGTCATTTTCGCTTGTAAGATTTTTGGGAGAATTGATGTTATCTTCAGGCAGACCACCAAAAGCTTAACATACTCTTTGAGGAGGGGTGATCGACCACCTTGGTTGCCTAACCTTGGCACTCCTAGACCAACTTCCCTTGCGGGGTGGCCCTGGTTAATGGCTAGCATGGCTACCAGGGTTCCTCATGGGCGCACACTTGCTCATGGGGACAGTGCATGGACCGACACTACGCTACCGACACTCAAGGGAGGCTTGGCATGCAGGCCTGGCTCAAGCATGACCCTTTACCACGCCAGCTCCTTGTCCAAGCTGATCGAGCTATCCCGTTGCCCCTAGCGCACGGGTGTGTTCCGGCCCAAGTGGTTGCCTCTCAACATGGGACATAGGTGCCCATCATCATCGGCATACAGGAGACCCATCACATCGGTGCCCAACCACCTCTTCGGCACACAATCGCCTCTCATTATGGCCGTCCCCCTTTAGCACGTAAGAGGCGCCTCCCATGAACCGGCCAAAGCCAGGCGAGTGCCCCGGCCATGCGACTTGAGGTCATGATCCAATGCTACTAACTTTGGTGGAGCCATCTCATCGGGCAACTCCTAGCCTCCAAGCACACAAAAGCTTGTCCTGGCCTGCCTTGGCCTGGACGCCGCACGAGTTTCTTCCGCTGTAGAACTACCCTTGTGACAGTTGGTATCAGAGCGAGCTAGCCGATTGCTGCTGCAGTTGGTGTCAAGCAGATTAGCCCAGAGCCAGTTGAAGGTCATCTTGACAAGCAGCACATCATATGCGGTCCCTAGGCACTTCCACTCGGGTTCAAGCAAGTTTACACATCAGGCCTGGCAAGAGGCCATTCATTCGTGTCCCCATTCCAATGACCCCAAAAACAGTGCCCTTGTGGGGGCAGACACATTGGTTGCTGTGCTCATGTGGGGGCAGACGCGTGAGCCTTTTCTGGAAGGCAAATTGTGGCAGTTTGAGTGGGGGAGTGCCATGCTTTCTCATAGACTTCAGTTGCTGTTCATTTTGGTGAGGTGTTGGGCGGTGCACCTACATCTTGGTTTCATGATAGATGAGCCATTGTTCTGTAGATTTATCTGAGACACTACTAAGGCGGGGACAGCAGTTCGAAATTGGTTGGTGTCAACGGTTAGTCAAGGAATATCACTGAAGTGGAAGTTTTGCATCAAACGGGTCCTTGGTTGAAGCTACAATATTGGAATGTTAGGAATGTGGGTACACCGGCCTTTGGAACGTGGCGGCCCTACACCGGCAAAGCATCGGAGGACATGCTCAATTCAACAAGGCAGAACACTTGCAGCAACAACTCTCATCACAAGGCGAGTGCATGTTCGACAACATCATGGGTAAAAGTTGCCACACTCGCACACAATGCGGTCAGATCTCCTTGAGGTAGCACCACATTGGGGCCCCCTCGGAGCGAAGATGTAGCTCGAACCGGCGAGGTGAAGTGTAGTTTTGAGGGCCAACAGAGCATAAGCCATGACTAGGTTTGAGTAACCCGCACACGGCGAGGTGAAGACTGCAGACCAGCATGGTGAAAGGGTACACCCAGTACACATCGCCAACAGCAGGAGTAGACCTATCACATCGTGTTCGGTAGCACCACCAAAAAGCTACCAAGAAGACGATCGAGCCTTGAGGTAAAGATGATACATGGGGTGGACCTCCGCAAAGCACTACATCCAATTTCTTCGAGGGCCCTTCTCACACATTTCAACGGCATAGCCATTGCGCGGTTTGAGTAACCTCAACACAGGGGGTGAAGTCTAGGCAGGTCGGCATGGTGAAATGGTTCCGTCCCCATAAATGGACACCAATATAGGCGAGACCCGGGTTGGCCAGGCGAGCCCTGGAACTGGCACAGAAGTGGATGGCGCGGGACATAGATGCCCATTCACGAGAAGACCATTGTCGAGGACGACAATGGATTGAGTGGGGGAGCCTGTTACAGTCTGACACAGGCTTAGCCTAGCCTACGCTTGGCAGGTTTACGTTAAGGGACACCATCGTCATTTTCGCCTGTAAGATTTTTGGGAGAATTGATGTTATCTTCAGGCAGACCACAAAAGCTTAACGTACTCTTTGAGGAGGGGTGGTCGACCTCCTTGGGTGCCTAACCTTGGCACTCCTAAACCAACTTCCCTTGCGGGGCGACCTTGGTTAATGGCTAGCCTAGTTACCAGGGTTCCTCATGGGCACACACTTGCTCATGGGGATAGTGCATGAACTGACACTGCGCTACCGACACTCAAGGGAGGCTTGGCATGCGGGCCTGGCTCAAGCATGACCCTTCACCACGCCAACCCCTTGCCCAAGCTGATCGAGCTATCTCATTGCCCCTAGCGCACGGGTGTGTTCCGGCCCAAGCGGTTGCCTCTCAACATGGCACACAGTTGCCCGTCATCATCGACATACAGGAGACCCATCACAACGGTGCACAACCACTTCTTCGGCACACAGTCGCCTCTCATTATGGTCGTCCCCCTTTAGCACGGAAGAGGTGCCTCCCATGGACCGGCCAG